TTTCGGTGTTTAGGCCATTCAGTCATTGGAGGGGGGAGAGTAAGTCACCTAAAAATAACTTATAGTCAGACAGCAAATTTCTCACAAATAAGAACTGTGTTAAGAAAATGGTAGAGTAGAACTTAAAAAGTTCTGTATCCTCCTTTGCCTTCTTATTGGGGTTAAAGGCTAAAAGGAACCTAATCCTTTACTAGGGGTGAGGAAGGAATTAGAATGGTATTTAATCCATATTTTAAGTCATTGCTTTAGTGTGCACACATTGCTATAATTCTTACAGATTCCAGAGAACCTTAAATGGATTTACTTTCAGATTTGCAGTTTTAATTTAGCAGTTTTGAAGTATAGATCAGTTTTTCTTGAAATTAGAAGTTGCAGTGGTTCTATCAAACAAAGAAAGTTTTAATATCTAAAAATTATTTACTTTGACTTTCTCTGAAAGAGTAGGAATATTTTTAATATTTTTAGCAATATTAATTAGAATATGTACTACATTTAATGCTGTTCAGCAATTAAAATATACCACAAATCTCACAATGGTCTAGCATCATATTGTCTCCAATATACTAAGAAAATGGCTGCAGCCCTTGCCTTTCCTACTTTACATGGGTCAGCATGACCCACAGGGCAAACATGAAGCAAGACCCCTCCCCCATTACAGAAGGCGGTATTCTAAATCGCTCAGAGGCACTCTGAACTATAAAATTAAGAGTGTCCTTACTATCTGTACACATTGTATAATAATCTAGTTGGGTTTTTTCTTGCAGATTTGTAATTAAAATATAATTCTGAAGTTTGCTAAGGGAAATTAAATAAACTTCAAAAAGCACATACTACATCTGCCTTCTCATTGACTTCTCATGCTAGGAAGAAAACAAACCAAAGCCAACTCGTGACATGAATCTAAGCATCCCACAAATTTTTTAAAATATTTTTGTGAGGATTTTCTATAATATCTTGTGTAGTTTTAGTTTCTGTAAATTTCTGGTTGGTTCATAGTCCAAACACATTCAAAAATATAAAGCTTTATTTTCAATCAAAACAGGTAAGTGTGGCCTCTGGAATCAGACAAATACCAGCAAATAAGTGATATACTTTTTCCACTTGGCCTTTTCTTGATCTAGCCTGATGGGTTGGAGATTGAAATGTTGTGATTTATGACTTAAATATCTTCATGAAGGACTTTTGCCTATTATAGCAAAACTGTATAACAGAAGCTGAATACCACTAATCCCTGAGTAAGGCCTTACACTGCTCATTGATTGAGATAAGATAAAGTGACTCAGGTCTGGAATGGGGAAAGAGGGATCAAGCTTGGCACCCTCAAGGTGGAGAACATAGCCCCAGGGCTATCAGCTGCCAGACTTGAACAGACCCCTACACCAAAGGAGGGGGCGAGGAAAGGTTTTAGCTTTTCTTCATAGGCCTCACATTCTAGACCAGCTATCAGCTCCACTGCCCTTCTCTGGAAACACTCCAGCACCTCAGTGTGCTTTTTGCAATATGCACCCAAAACTGGACAGAGTACTCAAGGTGCTGCCTAACCAGTCTGACTACAGAAGAATCACTTCTTTGGACTTGCTGATACAGGTCAGGATGTCATCAATATTTTCAGCCACCTGGGCATACACTGGCTCACATTCAGCTGGCTACCAACCAGAACCCCCATACTCTTTTATGATAGACATCTTTCCAGCTACTCTTCCCTAAGCCTGTAACACTCATGAGGTTGTTGCGGATAAAGTGCAGGACCTAGCACTTGTCTTGTTAAACTTCACATCGTTGGTCTCAGCCCTTTAATCCAGCCTGTCCAGATGCCTCTGCAGAACCTTCCTACAGCAGATCAACACTCTCATCCAGTTTGGTGTCATCTGCAAATTTACTCAGTCCCCTCATTTTTGGGAGGGGGGGGAGAAATCTATTGATCTGTTCAATAGATCATCAATATTGAACAGGACTGGAAGATATTGAACAGGACTGCAAAGTCACATACATTTCTGATTTCACAGTGAATACTGGATAGGAAAATTCTCAGTGTCTAAAGAAATCACACACACAAACACTAGTCAAAAAATATTAAGATAATAAATATAAGTCTTCAGTAAGTGAAATTTCCTTGAGGATAGGGAAGTAGTAGTAGTAGTAGTAGTAGCAGGATCAAAAATCAATACTATTAACACTTAACTTTAATAAACCATCTTTGCTTTGCTAGATCTTCAGTAAAGTAAGGCATCATTTTTTAAAAAATGTGCGAGAACACACAATTTCAATTGATTTTGACACTTGAAATTTATTTACTGAAATCCCTTAGATGCTTTTGAAATCCATACCTACAAGTCACCATACTCTTGTTTCTTCTGTCCTCCCTTCCCTTAGTACCTCTAACAAAGCCAAAATTATCTTTCCACCAAAGCTAAAATGAATTTATATCTGATGTACTGCAATTAGTGGCAGACATTCTAATACAAATGAATGCCAAAGCTTTTACTTTATTCCATTACTTTAATATATAGGTATATAAATTTATTGCTGTCAAGACAGTCATAACAAACTGAAGAACAAACTATATTTGAGAAGCCTTCTTTATATTTATTTTACAGCATATTGTCTTTTTATACTCTTTCACAAAGTTTATATTTATTCATTGGTCAGAGTAAATCAGCGTAGTATTCATTGGAGCAAGGTGGCTTGCCCCTTGTTTATCTCTCTCCTTCGTTTCCATGCTGACAGCCTTGGTAAAGCTCCTTTCAGGAGCAAAGGTGACTCTTATCAGCTCCTCTCTTTCACTAACTCTTTCTGACTCAGAGAACAGCTGTGAGTGCCTTCCACATAAATTTATTTTTAAACATATCATTTTTCCATCACAGTAGATATATGAATGACAGACTCATAAGAAAAAAATAAGTACTAGTAATTCTTCTGTAAGAAACAGTACTATGGGATGAGATGTCTACCACCTACAGAAGCTGCTATCATAATTTTCATGTCACTTGATGCAAGCTTTCAGCAAGTTAAAAATTACGTATTTTTAAGGTGTGTCTGTCTTCAGCAGCAAATGTAAATGCAGACTAAATCCACCAGTCTTTTCAAGCTTTCCATTCATTTATTGGTGATAAATGCTATTTTTTCTTTCTTATTATTTTAACTTGATTACTCCTATTACAAATACCTGATTATAGTTGAATGTAGAAGTTAATCACTACCACAAATTTGGCCAATTTTCTAATCAAGATATATTCAACTGGTAATTTACACCTTTGCGTATGTCTATACTTAGACAAGTGAGAGCAGACATTGCCATAGCTTGAAAGTGGCTCAAAATCACAAGATATTACTTGGGGAGGCAGCAGATGGGCATTAGATATAAAAAACAGCCATGTTCTTAAAGCATTGACTTAAATCTCAGAAATTCCAGGCTTCTGTCACAGATTTCATATGAAGTATTGGGAAGTTCACATGATGTCTCTTGAATTTTCTTTTGAGATCAAATGGAATAGTCTTCTAATCCATGAATCTTCCCCTTTCTCCCAAATCATTAAAAAAAAAAAACAACTAGAAGCTGAGGAGAATGAAACTGGAGTTACCCTACAAAAAACCTTTTCAGTTCAGAGTTTCAAAATTTCTTAGAGTTTTGTAGGTTTTTTTTTTTTTTGCTTGATTTGTTTTTTTTTTTTATTTCAAATAGCATATTTTAGATTTTCTATTTCAGACAGAAAACAATGCCTTAATACTACAAAAAAGGCTATCCTTGTGTAAGTTCCCAACTCAATCAAATCTAGGGGATACTGACAAGTTCATGACATATCTTTTTCTTGATAAATTTCTTACCCAATTTCCATATCAACGAAATTGTATTGAGTTTGCTATAACTTAGAATGAATAACCTAACTCTAAAGGCATCCACAAACCTCCAGACAATTCAAATAAACCAGAGTTCACAAGGTATAAACTTCATATTCTCATTACCAGGAGATTAACTTCCCACACATCATTGTTGGACATTGCCGTCACAGACAGATACTTTTTTTTTTTAATAGAAAGATTTCAGAAGTTAGCATTCTGTCTTATTCCCAATAACAAACTTGGGGAAGTCTTCAAACTGATGTGCTGTTTCCTCTTTCTTTAAATATTTACCAAGGTGTCATGATCTGGTTTAAACCCAGAAGAGTAAAGAAAATTAAGTTTCTGTGTATAAAATGGAAAGAACTTTGTAGGTTCAAAATACACCCAAAAATGATATTCAAACCAAACGAGGTTAGATGTTGGTGCCAAAAAATTGATGTACTTAATAGCAAAAGAGGCAAAGGGAGGGAGGGAGGGAGGGAGGGAGGTGGGGGGCACATGTCAGAGACTGAAATAGTTCATGCCTCAAGCATTGATATAAAGTTTTGCTTGTTATAACAAAAACTGTATAAAGAAGCTACAACTACAGAAGAGTCCCTGAAGATGCCTGACTGGAACTTTGGACTGTAAGTCAAATTAGATAAAAGGAAAACCCATTATTCAGTCACCTGAAACAAACAAGTAAATAAGGAAAAGAATGAGCCAAACCCAGCAGCCCTGCTAAGAATCCTTAGCTCACTTTGGTGTGGGGGAGGCCATAAGCCACAGACCCATTTGCTGGGAGCAAGTTTGCAGATTTCCCGCCCAGCTGAGATGGGAGGAGGAAATTTTGCAGCATTGTAACCTGTGAAGCCATCCCTCCCTAAAACAACTGGCTGGGGAACCCCCAACACCAGGAAGGCCACATCCACACGACATTCAGGTGAGAGGCAGCTGAGGGGGTGCCTTAATCCATCAAAGGTCCCCCGAAGTGCTCCCCAGAGTCATTCCTAAAACCTTGCACCACAGGACTGCACGTGATGCAACAAATCCAGAATCTGTTGTAAGAGACAATCATCAGCTGCTTCCTCAAATTACCATGCTTTATGAATGAAAGTTATGTGGTAATTCCCACAGGAGTTACTGGAATATCATGAAAACACAAGAATTTTTTATTATAGGTAAAGACAGAAGCGGAGGTGCCTGGATTTTCCTACCTGACCTGAGCATATATTAATCCATCAGATTCTATGCTTTTCAAGGTGACCTTCACCACCAAGAAGATCAGCTGGAGAGGATCAATGGAACATCATTGGGATCCATGGAGTGGATAGTTATTTCCCTGTTATTTCCCTGTCCCTGTTACTCTCTGTCTACCCCCCCACACCTATTTTCTATTTCTTTCTCCCTCACTCTCTCTCCCATATTTAATAAAATCCATACGATTGTCTTTTGCTTTTGTAAATTATTTTGATGTAGTACAGTTTGTAATCTCTTTTGATATAGTATCATTTGTCAGCCTCTTATGGTTAATACCCTAATATCTGTGTCGATTGTATATCTTAGTGTTGTAAATATATATTATAGTTTAGGCTTTCACAAAATATTAAAATAGAGGATGTGTACTGTCTACTATAACATTGACTTTTAGAGAAGTAATGGCAGTTGTGGAATAATAACTAATGCCTTTATTTTTGTAACCATCTGACAATAGTGAAATAGCTAATGTTGATTGAAAGTACTTGTAAAAATGGCTAGCTGTATGATAAGATAACATTGAAAAGAACCAGAGAAATAACATTGAAAGCACAAGAAAGAATCTACTACTGACCCTTCGGCTATCAATAACTGTCAAACCACAGACCAGGGGCCCTTGTGAGGAAATAAAATACAAGACTCTCAGAATCACATCTGCATTGTGGCACATACTCTAAGATGAAGTCAGGGGGGTCTAATGAAGATTAAAATTCTCAGAACATGTAAACTCAAAGGAATGTCTGAATATGTATAATCTTCATTAATACACATTTGACCCATGCAATAAGAAAGCATATATGAAGAGTTGTTGTAGTTAATGGTATGCTTCTGCAGTTTGCCGGGCACCACAGTGCTGGATGCTGTTTCTTTTTTCCCTTGTTAAACTTAAAAATTCTAAAGAGTGAGCTTTGTTTCTCACTGGGCTGATAGTATTGCCTATTTATAGCACTTAGCATACATTTCTTTAATTCCTGTAATTTTCTTATGTTATGTATCACTAACAAAGTGTTCCTCAATCAGCTAAGAAGGCAAAAGGGCAACAGATTGGAAGAGTAACCAGATATACAGTCACGCTCTGCATTCAAAGCTGGAGGGGGAAAAAAGGACGGAAGATACTGGGAGTTATGGACTTTGTCTTCCCAAGTAACTGCTATGCATGATGAAGTCTTAATTTGCAAGCAAAGGCTAAATGTATGTCTGTTGATGGGAAGCACTTAACTAAATTTTTTGTTCTGCTTTAGCACACAGGTTTTGCTTTACCTATTAAAACATCCAATCTCAAGCCATGAGCTTTCCTACTTTTATACTCTCACCGTGGGGGAGTGAGTGAGTGTCTGTATGGGGCTCAACTGTGTGTCAGAGTTAACCCATAACAGCTGGGCTAGCAATGTGGCGCTCCTAGATAAATGTATGTTGCAGTCCTTAAACAATTTACATTGTCTCTACTTTGGACTACACTACCTTCCATAAATCTAAATATGCTTTACGAGATGAAATAAAATCATGAGGATGTAGATTTGTTCAGTCTCACGTGCATAACACATTTTGATGCTTTATTTTCAGGCTTAACCCTCATTTGAAAGGTTTGGATCTGGGCCTGGAGAATCATGAGCTATCAATAATGTCAAAAAAGGCTCAACTGAGGTATGCTGGGGAAAAATAGTTTAAAATTTATACTATTTCTTTAACTGTATGGTTGTAGAGACAGATTTTTATTTTTACAGCTATAATCAGCTATAAATCAGCTTTCATGGTCACTGACCTCCCTAAAAATAAAACTGCGAATAGATCATCTTTCTTTGTTTCTATTCTTCTCAAATATTCAAAGCAGAGTATACTGTGTGGAACCAGTACATAAACATTAATGACAAACTACCAAGGAGAATAACTGTAAGTTAAAAAGATAAGGATAAACTCTTTCTTCTCCTTCTGTTAGTTATTCTGCAGGAAGGCTAAGTCATACTTCCTACCAGATACCTCAAATTTAAATAGTCTCACAGTAAATTATTCCCCTCCCAAATATACAGTATACATGGTCTGTGTGAGAAATCCCTTGGCAGTGATGACATTCTGTAAAATTCCAACATAGAACAAGCCTTTCCATGTATGACTTAAGGCATCATTTTAGTGCATTTCATTTTTGTGCATTTTGTGCTGTAAAACAAGTCCTAATATATAGAATTGTATACTAATATAATATAATATAATAGTATTTTATTCTCAAATTTAGACTCCAATACTGGTTCAGAATAAAGCAGCATTCTTGTTTTCTAGTCAAAAATTCCTGCTCACTTTCTAAGAAATTTCATATTGTCTAAGGTTCTTATGGTCACATGCCATTAACATAACTTCTCACCTCATCCTAATATAAGTGAAATATCCAAAGGCAGGCAAAGCAGAAACAGAGTTCAGTAAAGATACTGCATAATTTTTTTTTATTCTATTCTATCTTTATAATTTTTAAAGAAATCTGTATACAGTAATACAATACAATAATCTTTTTATGCTTCCTTCCTACCTACTGGCTGATAGGTACCACACTCCTATTCTGTGGGTCGGAATAAACAAGTCAGTCTAGATTTATCAATTTTGTCAATTTTGCCTTGTCAGTCACTCTACAGGCTTTCAAATAGACAACATTGTCTTTGGAGTAGGCGCAAGATGTTGGCTACAGGAGGGCTGCAACGGCAGAGAGGTACTGTGCTGACATGGGCCAGTTCCAGCAAGCTTCAGTGAGACCCATCACAGACCAGAGAAGACTCTACCCGTAACATTTGAGATGCATTTGTGAAAATGTATGTAAGAAAAGACAGAAAACATCAGGGTCAGAGAAAGAGGAGAGGGTGGAGGAGATGCTTCTGGTGACAGAGTAACTATTCCCTACAGTCCATGCATGAAGACCTGCACTGGTGCAGATAGTCACTGCCATCCATGGACAACACCCTGCTGGAGCAAATGGATATTACTGCAGGAACTGCAGCCAGCATAGAACTCATATCACAGCATATTTTCTTGACAGGAACTGCAGCCTAAAGGAACCCTCTCAGTGTTGCAGGGGTAAAGTGTGAGGAGGAAGGAGTAAGACTGCAGCACACCATTTCTCATCTGCCTGCACCACTTGAAGAGGGGCAAGGGGTCTAGCATAAAACTAGAGTGAAGAAGTGATACTGTGTCTGTGAAGGGAGGTAAGAAAATGTGTTATTTTAAAGTTTGTCCCTATTTCCCGTTACTCCAACTAGTGATTATGTTTTTATTTTAATTGGCAATTCATTAAGTTATTTTACTCACAATAAGTCTTTTTTCCCCACATAACTGACTGGTAAGCAATCTCTCTGTCTTTATACATGCCCTCAAGCTTTCTCATATCTGCTCTTTTTATTTTCTGCCCCATCCTGGGGAAGAGACAGGGGATCAGCAAACAGCTGGCTAGAATTTTGCCCATTAGCTGAGGCTAAGCCACAATATGAAGTCATAAGAATGTTTGGCTTCACTTAGATGTTTGCAAAATATTTTTTCTGCTCTTAATAAGAGAAAATCATACTGGGCTACTCTGTAGATTAAAACTTCAGTCCTTGTTATCATTATAGTCACTCCTCTGAAATATAATAACTAAATAAATAAACATACTGTTACCAAAAATTTATATTTCTATAAAAAGGGCCCTATTCAGCAGTGGGGAAAAATGTTTGGAATTAAACAAAGAAGGGTGATTCATTCCATGAAACAGATAGCAGTTAACAAGAAAGCTCTGGGTGATATCCATGTGTTAGAAAAATGTTTAGGGTCTGTCATGCTTCAGTGCTCTCAGACCTGGGATGGGAAATGGGAAAAACACAAATCACCTGTATTTTCACCCCATGTGGTCCTGCTACAATGCATTTTTCACAGTTCTAATTCTCTAAAATATCTGGTCTTTTTGCAAGGCCATATTTTGAAACTTGCTGAAACTTGTTTCTAGTTCAATCTCTCCCTCAACAATGTCATCTCTATTCCATGGTCTTCCTAAGTCAGCACACCTTATCTCAGTGTTTGCGTACAAGACTATGTGAGCTTTCTGATAGGTTCTGAGAATTCCTTACAAGTCCATTTCTCACATCACATAACTTGTTAGCCAATGAACACTAATTCCTTTGTTTGCTAAAATTTATAAATAGTTAAAAGCTTTGGTAACTGATGTACATAATTTGTGGAGGGATCCCCATATAGTTCAACACAGAATAAAATTGACTTTCTACCCTAACAAACTAGTTAGAGAGTTTATTTCCTGATTTTCAGCAATATCACATTCTACCCAGCCTGAACATGAGGTTCCTTTGTATGCACTGGATGATGCTAATGTTGAAGAAACTTTCTTGTCTGACCAACCAGGAGTCACTCTGGCAGTCACACTTACATCACCTAAGACTGTTACCACTGGGACCAAAGCCCCATCGCAACACATGGCTCCACTGAGTCAATGGGTGCTCTTGCTTGACTCCCTACACATTCCACTCCCACATACAGACAGGTTTCCTTTACTGGCTCAGCCTCATGTTCCATGTAGCAGTCACAGATGTCTGGTTCCCATAAGTTATGATCAAGCCTTTTATCGTGGTGCAGCAGCACAACAACAGCTTGTGCTGGTGCTGCCCAGGAGGGACCCCAAACAAAGAAATCCCTGGGCTTTTGTTTCCTTACAGTCTGTGGACCTGTTCCAGTGGTGGTTTTGGGTCTGGAGTCTTCTTGTCCTTCATTTGTTGCCACAGAGTCCCTGAGTGATGGACCAGCCTGCCTCCAAAGTTCCCATACCTTCAGCTGCGCAAAGGGTTGGTGACAGGACATGGCTCATTGCTGGGGCTCCAGCCATTTACCTCCATCTAGGGCACAACCTGCAACTTTCACTGCAGCTGTTCACTGAGCTGCTTGCACTGGGTGTAGTCCTCAACTCTGTGCAGATACAATGGGTCACAATCTTAGACATAAGAACTGCTAGCTAAAGCCACAGAAAGATGTTTTTCTTCCTCTCAGTTCATCAGCTTAAAATCTAATACCTTCCCCGCTAAGATGTGTAAAACTTCTAAAATTATTTTACCCAAATACTCGGCAATTCTACTCTATTTTGTTCTTAATTCTTTTCATGGCATCACAGTTTTGACTGCATTTAGGAAGAAGTACAGCACAATAAACACAGTTTTGTACAGCACCTAGTGTTGAGGACTTAATGTTCACAGCACATGCAGTTGGGGCTTTGTTTTGGAGTAGCTTTATTCTGACCACCTAGACTGAGCACCTGTTAGTGATTAAAGTGCATTAGGTGTACTTTTGGAGCACATCTTCTGATATAGCTTGAGGGGGCAGGGGGATGGAGCAGGAGGGAAGGAGGAAAGAGAAGGAAATAGTTCCTGCACTCCAAGACTGTTTCAGGATACGAACCAAAATATTTTATGTGGTAGCAGTTGGGAGATAAAGTGCATTCTTGATTCAGCCTTAAACACTATTATGTGTGTTAGTTATTCCAAGAAACAGAAAATAATTTCAAGAAAAAAATATCTGTAGCAATATAAGAATGTTGTTTCATTTCTATTTCTTCATATGCAATTTCAACAAAGTTAACTTTATTAAGTATGTCAGATAAGGCATGGTAAAAAATCCTTTGCCTTTTACTCTGTATGCCACCTAATATTTGATGCTTAAAGTCACAAAGCCCAGTATAGTTTGTAGATTGGATCCCTCATCCCAAGCTTCCTAATGAAATAGGTATATGACATGATGTCCAAAAAGAACTATTTTTCTACAATAGGAAATTGAAGAAATTACTACAATATAATGCCGATTATTTAAATAATTGTTTCATACCTTAACAGACATATAAGTTTCTGGATGGCTTATTCCTCCTATAACCTGGTACTACTGATTTCATCAAATATTTTCCAACCAACCACAGTCTTTCAGGCAAAGAACAAATAAATATCTATATTGTGCAGCAAGATGAAATAATGGACATTCTGAACTCAAAGTAGACACTTGGGACCATGGCTATTTCTTCTTTCTTAAAAGGTTACCACTTCATTGGTCACAGAAGATTAGTATAGTCATTGTACATCAACATATACTATAGTATCCATCATTTGTATGTCAACAGATATGTTACACAAAAGCCTGCTAAGGTAATTATTCTATTTTCAAAAATATCTTACCTTGGAATCACTGGCAAGCCTAGAAACCACAGATTTAAACAAATGTGAACTACATTTATGAAGCTGAAAAAACAAATTGATTTATTTTTGGCCTTTGCAGCATTGCCACCAAGCAATATTTAGCATCTGTAAATGGCCTCTGTGTCCAAGTGAATGGACTCAAGTCTTAACTTGAGGAGAGCTTTATAGCTGGCCCCCCTCCAGAGTCTGAGGCTTCAGGGTACATTCCTAGGAATTAGCTGTGCAAAGACTCTTTTTTGCTGTGACTAGGTAGGTCTCTGTTAGAAGTCATGGCAGAAAATCAATGTCCTTTTCATATTACTTGTTGTGTTTTCTTAACCTCTCAGAGCTCAAAACCCAGAGAGGCCATATTTCATTCCAGCTATATATCATACTGGCAATTTCCTGTTGATTAACAAAAACGCTATAAATGTTTACTAGTGGTCCTACCCTAATCCTCATGTGCATTCACCACTTCCTCACTGGCAGAGATAGCAGTCTGATCTGTCCAGGGAGTAGACCAGACATGTTCCTGGGTCAGCTAACTTGGCAACTGTGAGACATAAATACAAGATAAAAATATCATCATGTTGGGAAAACACTAAGAAGAATATTCTAATACCTTCTTTAGGAACTAGTAGTAGAAAAGAAAAGATGAGGGCAGGGGAACTGTGATCCTTTCTTCTTTTTCCTCCTCTGGCCTTTGACTAGAAAACAAGATGGTGACGGCAACTACAAATTCAGTAAGACAGTGGTGGTGGTACCACACCTACATTTTGTCCTCCAAAATGACTCATACAAATGTGTGACTCAACCCTCTGAACAACAAGCTATTACTGTTGGCAATGATGCTTGATGTTTGGTTAGGAAAGGGTACACTTGGAAAGTGTTAGGACCTGATTATAATGAGTTCTTTACAAACCCTCTATGCCTTGTCTTACAGCAGTGAGGTAAACATGATCCTTGCAATCCCAGTTCCCAGCACTTTTTGCTCCAGCAGTCACAGTTCCCAGCAGTTCAACCAAGGTGTCAGCCATGAACACTCATCTCTCTAAGCACTCATGTACTATTACCTAGAATATAAAGATCACTGAAGAATTGATGGTTTATATTGCTGTTGTGCTTTAATCCCAGCTAGAAACCGTCCATGATGCAGCTGCTCACTCACTCCCTTGGAAAGAGAATCCAAGGGAAAAGAAATGTAAACTTCGTGGGTTGAGATAAGAACAGTGGAAGAACAACATCAACAAGAATGAGAAGGAGGACAAGAAGGAGGAGAAGGAGAGAAGAAAGGACAGGACAGCTGCCTGTGGAATTAAAATATGAAGCCACAAAGCAACTTTTAAACCTTTAAAACTAACTAAAAGCATGAAAAGAATGGCAGAGTCAAAAAATAACAACAAAATAAGCATTTAGGCCATGATTCAGGATGGCTTCCTGAAATTATGAGGAAAATGTAACTAAAATATTGATGGCTTCTTTTCCAATAAAAGTGGTAGTAGAAAATTAAAATCTGAAGCATATACTACACAACTGTGATCTGCCATTCAGAACAGCAATTTTTGAGGACATTTTTCAATGCTAGATAAGGAATTTCAGGCGTTTTCTGTTGTTCTAGTTATTTTGCCTTCCCCAGATCAGTAAGACATTGACTTGGATGGCTGTGGTATAAAAATAGCTAAAGGGAGAACAGATGGTTACCCCAATGGTTTTATGAGGCCTTTGTAATGAGGTGCTCAATAAGGCTACAAGAGACAGAACTTCTCAAAGACCATTTTCTTTGGTCTCCAAACTCACTGATTGTTTTTTCTGTTGTGCCTAGCTGCTGTAGTGTGGCTTGCCAACATATGAAGTACAGTCACTTTTCCTAATTTCCTGGTTATTACTGAATGGGGAAAGGAGGTGCACATGGTGCAGTTTCCAGACTAGAGCAAAAAGACCTCCTTCTTCACTTTCTGTATTAGAAATACAGACTTGTGTGTCAGCCTCCAGAACACTGTCACTATTTATTCCATTTCGCCACATATTCTTTACTTCCCCAATGCATGGATTAAAGTAAAAACTGAGCAGATATCTTGATTACTTTCTAATAAGGTTCCCTGTCCATAACAAGTTAGCTACATCTAAATACCCAGAAGCAAATGCTGAAGTATCATTGCAGATTGCTGTCCATGTAGTTAATTAAGACCTGTTATTGATTTGAGGTTATTTGAATCAAGCAGATGTAGCTCAAGAAAATTAATATTCTTTAACTACAATTAAAATATATTATTCAAACATTCCTATTCTTCTAAAAGTATTCCTACAAACCATAGCTTCCCACATATCCTAGACCCTTCCTAGCTCAATGCAGTCATCATGGCATTTACAGTTCATTCATGCTGTTGCAGTTCTTTTTCCTGATCTCTGCACTTATAGTTAAAATGCATAGCTTTAAAGTTTTAATTTTGTAAAGGAAAAAAACAGTTGTGAAGGCAGCTGGGTTCCCTTTAGCAAGCACAATTACTTCTTCCATCCTAAAAACATTAGGTTTTGCCAGAAACACAGCTGCCAATAGCAAGCCAAAGATATAGTGCCTCAGTTTCTTACACCATCAAGCCTTCACCTAATTTGTCCAGCACCACTTGGAAATGTTAAAGCTGGCTGAGGTAAAATAGAAATAATAGTCTTTCAATAAGACACTGAGAAGATAAGGGTTTTGTTTGAAAAACAGGGCTTACAGTTGCTCATGTAAAAATACTTCTAAAGCTGTTGCCAGGTGATCATTCATCAGAGAAGCTTTGCTCAAACCGCATCAGAATTACCTAACAGCTGTGAATCACCACGCCAGTTCCCCTGCCTTTTCTTGCTACAATGTTTCCCATTGGTTTTGTTCAGACTGAACTAGAGTCAGAATAGGAGCTACTTCTTGCAAAAATTCCTTAATTTCAAAGTCCAGTAATATACAGTATTTTAATTTGTACCTTATTTTAAATAGGCAAATTATAAGGCAGGTAACTGGTTTTTTTTCTCTTCATTTATCTACAGTCT